TATAGCACCTAGCAGCAAAGCTCGTAAAATTATCTTAAAAAATATGCATCAAGAGTTTTTCATTATTAGCATGGACAACCATTTTTCGATAGTATATAGTAAAGTAAATCTTTGGACATTTCGTACCATCATACTTCTCGAACTCTGGTACCTTGAACTTCAAAAGAATAACCATATTGAAGACTAAACAGAGCCCAACAATATCTACTGAACTATAAAAACCAACTTCTTCCACTACTTGTAGCCTTTCCTCTAACAAGTTCATCTTCTGTTCAACTTTTGAGGCTTCTAAAGTCTCCTTTTTCTTAGGCTTTAACTTTTCTTTCTCTTCTTGATCATCTAAATTAGGAATTGGTATTGGTTCTATTGTCTTTTCGATAAAGACAAGATTTATATAACTCTGATACTGTCATTAGATTTGAAGTTGATACCATTCTGAAATATATGTACCTTACAAGGTATGTAAATTACTGAGGTGGTGGACCTTGTACGGGTTGAGCTTGATGTGGCTCAAAATTAAGAGGGTACAGTGAGTCATCTACCTCTTGTGATAGATTATCTTATTGGCTAGTACTTTTTTCTATACCTTTTTCCCTTGTTTAACTTATTTAAAACCTCTAAAATCTTATTCAAGTCTTATTCTAGCTTTTCTTGAGCTTTCTCTATCCTCTCAAGACGATTGAAATTTTCTTATTCTATTTGTCTAGCTTTAGCTCTTATGTTATTTTGGTGAGTTGATTAGATGGGATTCTTGGTTGGTGAAGCTATCTTTGAACCTTGAATACCACAATTATGTATTATTAGAAATGCTATGCTTTATGCATGATATGTTGATGCATAAATGGAATGTGGATTTTCATGGATAAAACTAATACAAACGCATGACATGATAATGCAAATGCATAAGGTCAAACAAACAAAATGGTTCGTTTCATGGATGAAATGAAAGTGATACAGATGCACAATATTACATATGACAATGAAAATGATACATGACTTGCAAATGCACAAAATCAAACAATCAAAATGGTTAGCAAGTCACAAATTGTTCCTTTTTGTGTCTTACCTTTAGGTTACATCTATCACTAGGTAGGAATGTGTCTATTTTAAGGTTGGTCCTCTTAGGTATTGATTATATGCAGGGTTAGGTGACTTTGACCCCTAAAGGTTCTCAAATTATTCCTTACATCATAGTCCATCATAGACTAGTAAGGCAGTCCAATTCTCACCCACACAGGCTACCAATGGACATGATTTAATTTGAGTGAGAGTATTTCTCTAGCCATTGCAAAGATTATCATATCATGAGAGCATAGATACTTTACTCCCTCTTAAAAAGGATGAAACCCATGTATAGAGCTCATATAATGCAAATGTAGGTGATAATGTGTGTGAAGGAACATATAGGTTTCATGCCCCAACAATAAAAGACGAAAAAAATGTTAGTAAATAGATAACACAAATCATTATAATTTAAAACCATTAGACCAAAGGATAGGATAAATTTAAAAGTTTATGGCTTAACTTTCTATGACCGTCCCCAGTGGAGTTGCCAAACTGTCATAATATATAGATCCAAAAATCTATAGCTATACTTAATAAATGGAGTCGCCACCAATCTTTTTTAATTAGGTGTGATTGGCCACTTAAGAAATCTATCATTTTAAAGAGCTCCTAAGCTTAACTAAGGGTTTCTAAAAGAATATGTTTGAGTCTACTAACCAAAACAAGATTCGAAAGTTCAATTACATGTGGGGAAGGTTATAGCACCTCTACATGCCCATCTAAAAAATGGTACTATTTTATTTTAAATTTATCCTAGGGTTTTGGTTCTAATGGTCTTAATTTTTTATGTTGAAATATTAAAAATAATTCTTAAAACTCACCATCAATCTAGTAGAATTCTTAAAAATATTTTTTTACCTCAAGAGTATTCAAGAATCTTATTTATTTTCTTGAAGAGGCTCCATTGTCAAAAAAAGTTTAATTATTTTTTATTGAAAATATATCTAATTATTCTACCATTTAGGCCAAATTAGAAATATTTTCTCTTTTAAATTTCTAAATTCTCTACCATTTGGGCTTATTTAAAAAAAATTTTATTTTTTATTATTTTCAAAAGAAAATAATATGACAATTATTTTTTTATTAAAATCTCATTTAAATTCTTTTATCATTTGGGACAAATTTAAAGAAATTTCTCACCTAGAGATTTTCTAAAAAATTTGCCATTTGAAAATTTTAAGAATCTTATCCTTGAATAATTATCAAATATTTTCAATCAAAATTTTATTTGAAAAAGAATACAATTACTTTTATTAAAATTTTATCTAAATTATTTTACTATTTGGGACAAATTTAAAGAAAAATTTTCAACTAGAGATTATTATAAATTTTACCATTTGAAATTTTTAAGAATCTCATTATTGGGTAATTTGTATTTAATTCCAAAATTTTTATATTTTTTATTTTTTGTTTTGAAAATAAATATTAATTATTGTTATTAAAACTTTATCTAAATTATTCCACCATTTAGGATAAATTTAGACAAAATTTCTTACCTATGAATTTTATAAAAATTTATTATTTGAAATTTCTATACATTTCATCATTGGATAGTTAATATTTGTTGTCAAAATTTTTTTTATTTTGCTTATTTTTTTTCAATTTTAATCATGCAAAAATACTCCTAAAAATAAATAAACACATAATAAAACCAAATAAAAATAAAAAATAACCAAAAAAATGAAACGATTTGGCTCAAAGGATTCGATGCGGCTCAACTCCAAGCACAAAAAATGGCTCGAGGGATATGGCTTGGTGGTTGGGCTCAGCTCCAAAGATCAGTTGGTACACGGGTCAAAAACGGGTCGGGCTACAGGTCGAGTCGCCCCAATGAAAAACACGTGGATCCTGGGTCTTCTTAAACGCCAAAACGACATCGTTTTGGTGACGTATAAAAAGCCGAATTCCTTCTTTTTCCTCAAATTCCTCCTTCCCCGCTTTCTCATTTCCCTTTATTTTATCTCTCTCTCACTTTAGAACCAGATGAACTCTGGTTGAATTTTCGTTTGATTCTGAAAAATATTATCGAAATTTGGGTTAGTTCACCGGAGGTTGTTGAAAAATTAAACCGACACTGAAATTTAGGTCAAATTCTAGGAAGCTTGTCGAAAAATTCAACCAGTGCTGAAAAGCTAGTCAAAAAATTCAATTAGGGCTGAAAAATTTCTCGAAATCTAAAAATTTTCTAAAAATTTTCCAAAAAAAAAAGTTTTTTACGTAAAAAACTCTAAAATTTTTTTTTGCTTTTTGCTTGTTGTGTTTCTATGTGATCTTTCTTATGTGGTGTCTTTCTGTTGTTGTGTAATTTGCTTCTCTAATCTTTATGTTTTTTTATGATTCCTTTCTATGATCAGTACAGGTATTTATAGAATAAATTAGAAGAGTCCCTAATTAACTTTAAGTCCACTGTTAATAAGAATTCACAAAATTATTAGATTTATCCCATAGAAATTAAAACCAACTATAATTCTATTCAACCCCCATTCGCAGCAAGATTCTCCCTTTTTTTTTAGCACTTGAAAAAAAGATAAAACTCAAAAATCAATAAATAAATAAATAAATTAACAATAATAAAAAAACAATTAGGCTTGACAAATTAGTCCCCATAGAACCAAGTTCAATGGATTTAAGCTCGGACCTTATGGAACCAAGCCTAATAGGCTTGAACTAAGACCAATTAGGGTGTTTAGATTAATAATATATTATTTATTTATATAATATTAATTAATATTATATTTATAAATAATATATTAATAAATGATATTATAATATATTAAAATTAATATATTAATAAATATTATTATATTAATATTATTATATTATTAATAACAAATGAAACCTAAAAATTTTAACCACTTTTTCTTACATGTTTTTGCTTTCACATTTTTAAAACAAAAAGATTCTATCCAAACATATTTTCAAATTCAATAAATTAAAAATAAAACAAAAAAATTTTTAAATATAAAATATAAAATACACAATAATACCAAACGAACCCTTAATTTCTCCCTTTGAAATGAGTTACTCCAAGCAAACCTATCAATTAAACCCACTTTCCTTTCCTGTATATTGAAAATTTTTACATTCTTTCTTTTCTTTTATGCTGTCATGTTGGTTTTAATTATTTAATGAAAAAGGAAAAGAAACAAATAATATATAATATATAGTCGCTTTATTCCATCATAATATAAATGTTGCTGTCGGCAAATATTCAAATACTGATGATATGAACCATTTTTTTCCTCCAAAGGGCTGCATGCCATCAATTTTAGATCTGAGGCTTTGTTGCAAATAGAAACTTTGAGAATTGATGAGATGGCGACAATATATATTAATTTGACCATATATATCAGCCGTCCCATGGAAAAAATGAAAAATCTCCCAGGGAAGGCATGGAACATGCCATATTGCCTTGAACTATATGAGAAACAGGCAAGAAATTAATGGTTCCTGTAGGTATATAGCCTTTCTTCTCGATCCCTTTCTTGTCTGATGAGTGATGAATGTGTTGTCAAACTGATATATGCATATATAATGTAGAGAAAAAAAATATATGCATATATAAGGAAGGATTTTTTTACCATTTATTTATTATTTTTTTAATTTGGGTCAATGGTCATCTTTGGAGAAGAAAATTCTAAGTAGAACATGCCAATTGCCTATATAGGAACCAAGAAAATTAAAATTAATGTGCGGTACAAACTTTAATAGTACAACAGAGGATAATGTACTAATAGTTAATCATCCAAAAACCTTTAAATATTGGTCATATTAACAAGGTCCTTAATCCTTATCATTTTCCTAATTCCAACACTCATTTTGACCCAAAACCCTAGTCTACACTTGAGATGATTTATGTGCTTTGATTTTTTTGGGTTTAAATTTCTATCATATATCCGTCAAAATAAATCTTTACAGTACTTATCAGAGCTACAATGAATCATGATCATGGCATGGAAGGCATGGCACCACCACCATTGTCAACCAATGGCACCTCTGGGATGCACCACCACATGATGATGATGCATATGACCTTCTTCTGGGGCAAGAACGCCGAGATCCTCTTCTCAGGCTGGCCCGGTACGCGTGCGGGCATGTATGCATCAGCCTTGATATTCGTCTTTGTTCTTGCTTTCCTTGTTGAATGGATCTCTCATTCTCGGTTGATCAAGCCAGCATCAAGCAATGTCTCAGCTGGTCTTGTGCAAACGTTCTTGCATGCCATGAGGGTTGGTCTTGCTTATTTGGTAATGCTTGCTGTCATGTCGTTTAATGGTGGGGTGTTTCTTGTGGTGGTTGCTGGTCACACCTTGGGCTTTTTGCTTTTTGGGAGTAGGGTTTTCAAGAAAAATACAGAAGTGTTGTCTTATGAAAAAACATCTGATATTCCTCCAATGAGTTGTTGACGTATGATATCTATATATTGAATCCTTCTGTCTCAGTTTCTAATTTCCTGTAGTCTTTTGTTTTATCTTTACCTTTTTGCTATATAAGTTGATAAAGGAATATTTTTCATCAATTGATAACCAAATTATTAAAAAAAAAGGCATTTTTTTTCTGTCGTAATATTTGACTTATAAAGGTGAATATTGCACATGATTACGAGGATTGGATTCTGCATCTTTTTTCTTTTCTTTTCCTCAAGAAAAGGAATAAAAGAAAGGTAATTTGCACATTTTGGAAGCATAATTGTCATGTTCCATGGCTTGGTGTCTTGTAAATTTTGGTAATGCCTTAAACTTATCCCACCAGAATCCAAAACCGACGTGTCCAAAAGGATTATCACTTGAATACCCTTTTCAAAAGCATGAAATCTAGTTCAGCATTTTAACATCAAATAAATTCTTCTGCCTATTTTCTTCATACAGAAAGGATTAATAATTTTTCATTCCTGATTAGCCCCGGGATTTTCCCGCAAAGGCAAGGGAATATTTGCCTTTTGTTTCACCAGTTGCCATGTAAATTTCTAATGTGAGTAACACCAAGCATCGACAAGACATGAGAAAACCAATTATATTTTACAATTACTTCTGCATCAACGTATTTATTAAGGTAATTAATTTTAGCCATCTGAAAGGTTTTTCAATGCCAGTTTCAGTACTATGTTGTTGAGCTTTTGATTCTTGTAGATGGTTTGGAGTGAATTTTGATTCTTGTAGTTGTAGATGCCAATTTTCAAGCTTATAGAATACGGAGCCCAACTGGATTAGTTTTCTAGTCATATTTGTGTTTGATTTAAGGTTACAACTGGACCAAGTGGGTCTTCTCCATCCTAGTATTTGAGTGAAAGGCACGAATTTGGTTTCTGGACTGTGGCAGTTGTTGGGGCCCCCTCCGCCCCTAGAGCTTCTTTAAGTTCAAGTTCAAAAGTGTAAAAGAAGAAGCAACAACAACTTGCATAGAACATTTAAGAAAAGGAAGAAAAGGTTGATTTTTTACTTATTTGTTCACTTGATCTTCAGCCATTCAGTTTCAATGAGATCCCTTGTAAAACTAACGTAATGAAGTTTGCTGCTGCTAGAAATTGACTGTCATGATTATTTACGAGGAAATGTATACCAATCAATCTTTGATTTTCTTAACAAAGAAAGTGGCAGTACATAGACATTAAAAAAAAAAAAAAAAGTATCACGTGCTTAGATTTGAAATCAAACTTGCTAAATGTCATTTGTGAATATATAAATTAATTAAATTAAATGTCACTTGTGATTATACAAATCAATTCAACTAAAATCTGGATTTAAAGCACTAATCAATTTTCATTATTTGTCAAAAACTTATTCATCACAATGATGACATGAAAAGATTTTTATATATACAGTGGAAAATAAAGATGGAAATGGAAACCGAATTAGTGAAGCTCATATTGCTGATAGCTGATTTTATTACAAGGATTTTACAAAATACATCCTCAATAATAAGCTTACAAGCCAGCCAGAGGAAGGAACAATAAGTGTACCAATGTTTTTCATTATTTTATTTTTGCCCATCTAACTTAACCCCTAAAATTGGAAGAAAAAAGGAAAAAAAATACATATTCTTAACCTTGATAGTATTAATCTGTCTTATTTTCTGTAGATAGATTCCCTATATTTGACCATTGTCTGTCTTTTTTCTTCCTCTTTATTCATTGGCTTGAACTTGTTTTGTTCCCTTCATTTAGCGTAAATGAAGAATTCGAAGTGAGAAACAACCATGTTGCTTGAGAGGGTTCTTATTTTAATATGTCCATTCTTGAGGTAGACCTATTTCTTGATGGTTCATAGCCGGCACCGTCCTGGACTGGCGGTTTTGCTGTGAATACATGCGATTCCTCCCACTCGCAGAAGCATCTGCATGGAATCAGAAAAAGTTATAAATTGATATGCTAGACGGTGAAGATAAATGGGAAAAAAGCTTCAAAAAAATTATTGGTTGATCAGTTAGCTACCGTGTTCAAGAGGGAAACCATTACTGAACCTTGATGGGACACCTGTTTTCTCGAAGTGGAGCTTCAGGGCCTGAACTACTCTTGCAGGAATCAGAACCGTGGCACATCCTGATCAAAATAGAATCAAGGTAAATATCTGGGAAGGATATCTAGATACAGTGAAATTACCGGAAGGGTTCTTAATTAGGATTTTGGTTCCCAAATTTCTTCTAAAAGCAACGTGCAAATGGACTCAACCAGTGGGGGACCACGAGGGAATATTTCAGTTCACACTTACCAAATCTTGGAAACTAGTAATCGAGAAAGATAATAGTTGATGAAAAGGAATCCTGGAACACGGGAATAAAAACCATTTACCAGATTCCAGAATCAAAAACTCGGAAACCCAACATCATAAAATGCAATCCTGATCAGAATATGGGATAACTGATTGTCCACTGAACACTTATTTCCCCCCAACAAATCAGACCAAACATTTGCCTAACTCCTAAAGCGACCCCAAAATTACATAACCTTTCAGTCATTCTAAGAAGCAAAAGTTTAAAAAAAATCATAAGGAACTTTTTTGAACCTTGTTTCTTGCGTGACTCGCAACAAGCTCCTATTCCACGAGGCAAGAACACACCGGTTCCACAGGAACCATTTCTTGAACCAGATGCATTAAGGAAAACCGCCCTCATATCAGAACCAGCTTGTTGGTTGCTTTGTTGTTGTTGTTGCTGCTGCTGCTGGAGATTATACCAGGGATTATTAGAGTTAGGGGAAACTTTTTGACCATCTTTAAACCCACCAAAGACTCTCCCTTTGCTCTGATAATTCTTAACCCTTGGCTTTTGTTCCATTTGCTTCATGGCTTGCTCTTGCTTAAGCCTGTAAAACTGTAAATTATAGGAAGTAAAATCAGTCAATTTCATTTGTAAACAATTCTAGAAAAAAACTTATGATGTTCCAACTTACTTGAATAGCTCTTATTCGATCATCAATCAGGACTTGCTTTGATTGAAATCCAGCTTTCGGGTTTCTCCTGGATACTTGGATTGAGGTGGATGCACTTGTAAATCTTTCACCTTGGTTATATCTTGCTGTTTCTTCATTTTTCTTCAGCTTTTCAAAATTCCCAATCATAGGTGTCAATGGAGGAGATGGCTCCCTAGATGGGCCAGCAGGACTATCAAGGTTCGACCGAAGCTGTGACCAGTGTGTTGATTCCAGTGAACCAGACAAACCCGAGGCCTAAAAACCAAAAGAAAATAAAAAGATTAAGTTTTGTAAAATAAAACCGTGAAGCCAAAATCGAATCTTTGTTAACATGATCAAGAAGAGGAAATACCTTTTCATGTTTGTCTTCATCTTGAAGCATGTATTGAGCCATCTGGCGAGTCAACTGCCTATTGTAATCGTCTTCCTCTTCACTGCTCCCTGTTGAGCTTGAAGTCTTCTCAGAACCAATAGGTGAACTCAACTCGGACCCGGAATCAGATGAGCCAAATAAGTAAGACGCTTTTTGGTTGATGGCTTTGTTGATGTTGTTGCTGCTGCTGTTGTCCAGTGAAAGACCATCCAGGCGACCTTGAGGAGTGAAAAACTGATCAGAAGGGAGCAATAGCTCACACTTGTGTAGGTCAGCAGCCATCATAAATGAAATTACAAGTACTGCGAAGTGGAACAGAAATCAGTCGAGGGGGTTGATGATTTGCTATTATGGATGTTACTGGTTAGATAAGATACAATGATTACCTGGTCTCTCACGCATGAACAGAAAGAAAAAAAAAAAAAGGAGAGAGAGAGAGAATCTTGTGGGACTTCTTAATGAATGCTATAAAGAATGGAATTATGGAACAGGGTTTTTTTTTAAGAAAAAGACAAATTGAGTAGAGGACATGGAAACCAGGCCCAAGGAAGCTTGGGTAGTGTGTTTTCTTGTGTTTTGTTTTTTGTGGGCTCAAGTAAGTTGGACAGTACACTTGTCCAGCTATACAAAGTCACCTGCCATTTGTTGGGGAATTACGCTCTTTTGAGGAGCAGTCCAGTCAGCTGATTGCTGAAAGGGGATTTATGCAAATTCAATTTGAGTTGTTGTACAAGTTGGGGTTCAAGGGAATTGTTGTTTCCACAACCAAAAGAAAGGTTAATGCGGTTGACTGATGATCACTTTTCTTCTGTCTTGACATTCAAGAGTATAAACAGAAAAGTTAGCCATTATAAAAAGACTAAAAGATCAGTTTGCGGTAACAGGACTTTGTTAAAAGTGCTAGTTTATGTTGAGATTCTTTTAACATTTGAGGGTATTTCAGTATTTTACCAATAAATTATATGATTTTTTAATGATTTTTTAATATTATTTTTTTCCTTTATTTTTTTTAAAGGCTCAAGTATTAGTCAACAAAATCAGCTGATTAATGGATTAGGTAAGAATGAATGGAGTGCATTGGATTTAGATTTTAGTTGGATGATAGGTTTGGTTATTGGTAATGAAATTTGAAGTTAGCTGGAATGGTGATTGAAAATTTATGGGAAAGAAAAAGAAACTATAGTTATTAGGAAAACAACTCGGCTTTCCAGATCTTGATGATATCAAGGGAGGGATGTACACAGTAGTCAGAGGGGTCAATTGCCCCCACTAAATAAAAAAAACTCAAAAATTTTAAAAATTTAAAATATTACCCCACTAAAAATATTTTTTCAAATTTGCCCTTACTAAAGTAAGGCTCGTACAATAAAATATTTTATTGTTTGGGTGCTAAACAATTTCGATAATATATATATATATATATATATAACTTTGTAAAATAAAAGTAAATTACATTTAAAGGGTTTGAAATTATTAAATTTTAAATTTTTCTTAATAATTTATTAAGATTAATGTGAGATGATCTTATAAGGGTAATGAAAATTAAAGCTTGAACTATTTAAATGTTTTTAACCACTTTTTTAACACAAAAAAAGTAATATATAAAATGTGAAGTAATCCAAAAAATCATTTAGATTTATATCTTCATTTTTCTTTTCATTGTATGTAAGAAAAGAAACATTGTTATTCTTTCAATTATAATAAATAAGAAATAAAATATATTTACTTATTTGAAGTAAATAATAAAACTAGATATATTAAAAGTGAATAATAAAATTAGATATGTTAATTTTTATATTATTTTTCACATATTATATCTATCTTTAAGAATTTCATAAGTAAAATTTTATTAAATTAATATATGTATTTCATATTGAAAGTTGATTTGTCTAAATCGTGTTTAGACTATATTTATTAAGAATCATATAATTAATTTTAACTATACAAACATTATTTTTATGGCAAAAAAATTTTTTTACGTGCAGAAAATATGTTATACATCTTGATTTTATTTATAATTTTTTTATATTAATTTTTATTTCAATAAAAAATTTTAAGTTAATTTAAAATATTTACCCCCATTAACCAAAAATTCTGGATCCGTCCTTGGATGATACAGATATGCTATAAAAACTTCCCCTCACATTTCTTTTCCATAAATTATCTCCAAAAACACAAAAAGATCATATATTAGTTCTCAAGCATATGCTAATCTCTGTAAAACTTGAAGCTTTTTTTAGTTTTCAACAAGTGATTGTCATATTTAACTCTCGGCCTAAACCTTAAGCATTGGAGTTAAGAAGGTAATAAGTTAGTAGGCCATTTTATTCAGCCCAATAGCCTTCAGTTGGGCCTGTTTTCTTGAGTTGGGAGACTTTCCTTGTTTTGGGCCAAAATTAAGGCCTAATTTGAAATGCTCTCAAAGTATGCATGGTACATCATGTTATTTTCATGATATATTGCTTGAAAAAAAAATCATCCCTTGAACAATTTCACTTGTTCTGATATTATTATTCTTTCTGTTCTTGATTACAAAAGATGAAATGATTAAGAATTATGAAAGTATATCAAAATTTATTGGTTTTCTGTTTCTTTGATGCAAAAGTTTGAGAATTCAACTGATATTATTATACTTTGATATATTAATTTTACTCAAATATGATGGGATCTAATTTTTATTTAAATAAAAATTGGTATGAATATTTTAGAGATGAAAATGAAAATATTATAATGATATCATTGATTGAATTTAAATATTAATTTTAATAAAATTTATTTAAGATAAATTTTTTTATAAAATTTTTTTAATTATAATTATAATAAAATTTTCAATCTTTAATTATAATCATTATTATTATTATTATTAATCTCTATAAATTAATCGGTCAAAACTATCACTTAGTTTGTTTCAATTCTGGCAGCAATCACGCGTGACAGAACATGGCAAGGCAATCAAAGAGTTCTTGACCACAAGCTTTGGCCTTCGACAAATAAGAAACAGTAGGAAGAGAAAAAGAGGCTAAACTACAGTTTCAACTAGAGTGAAAGAGAAGCATCCAGTAGCTTTCCCGTCTCCTCAAAACTGTTGGCTAAGACTTCAAGACCTTATTCCTGTGACAGATTTTATTATTCTTTCTGGGTTTGAATTCTTAAGGAAAAAGATGACAAAAGATAGGAAAATTGGTGTGGCGGTGGACTTCTCCAAGGGAAGCAAATTAGCTCTCAAGTGGGCAATTGACAATCTGCTAGATCAAGGTGATAACCTCTATCTCATCCATGTCAAGCCCCAACAGGGTGGTGAATCTCGCAACCTCCTTTGGTCTACCACTGGCTCACGTAAGTCACTGCACAAATCGGTTTCATATTTGATCAAGTTTTATGCTATGATCATTTGTATTAGACAGTGATTAATTCGATGATCTGATTGTAGCTCTGATTCCTTTGGCTGAGTTTCGTGAAAAAGAGGTGATGCAGAAGTATGAGGTTGACCTTGATCCTGAGGTTCTGGACTTGGTTGATACTGCTTCCAGGCAGAAACAGGTTTCCCTGGCATCTCTATGTGTATTTCTACCTTTTTTTTTGTCATTATTTGTTGATCTTTGATCTGACTTTGCTAACAAACTCAACAGGTGACTATTGTCACAAAGATTTACTGGGGTGATGCCAGGGACAGACTATGTGAAGCTGTTGGAGATTTGAAGCTTGACTGTTTGGTCATGGGTAGCAGAGGCCTTGGCACCATCCAAAGGTAAACCCTTATTGTCTTCGTGGAAACTGATTTATCTTTTGAATGGTCGATTCTTTTACTTCAAATCATTCATAGGTAAATAATTATTTGATTCTCATATTCTGATTTTGATTGAAATAGGGTACTGATTGGAAGTGTGAGCAACTATGTGATGGTTAATGCAACTTGTCCTGTAACAATTGTCAAGGATCCCAGTGCTCATGGATTTTGATCAGAAAGTCTATTTAGTTTTGTGCAAAGTATTGTATCTTTGAAAATAATTGCTGATCTTGTATCTCTACAGAGACGTAAGGACATCTTGATTCTCAGGTTGTGCTGAAATCCTGAGTGTGTTTAGATCAGTTCCTGTGCTGTTTCCATGACTAAACTTTGTATGTTCATGGACATTGTTCTTGGTTGCATTAAATAACAAAGTTTTACTTTCTATATATTATTGTTAGTCATGGGATCCTGAACCTATTAAAGTTTTGCTCGTGTGATTTTTTGTGTTCTTGGGAGGAAGAGAGGGTTGCCTGTTGAACTGTCGGTGTCTGCCTTATTTTTTGAAAGAAACTGCCTACGATCGGCTAGAATATAGGGAAGAAGGCGGCACATGACCACTTGCTGTTACCGGAAAGTTTAGATTTACAGTAAATGTTCTGTGCAGGTAATTAAATAATTTTTCTCCAATGAATAAGCTTTATTATAAGAGCAATTAACTTCATCTCCCGCTCTGTTCCCATATAAACGGTGGGTTATACTTCATTTTCCTGTAGAAAAAATGATTAAAAGGATAAAAGGAAAGATTTTCTTTTAATCCATAAAATTCAGTATTTTCTCAAATAAGAGAGTCAATACAAGTGGAAGTGAAACACCTTACTATTTCATTAAATTTATAGTTTAGTTAATACCCATTTCGGATAAAAATAATTGTTTTATGCATTTTTACTACCTTTTTCCGTTTTCTTCTTCCTATCTCTCTTCTATTCTTGTAATTTTGTTGAATCTCAGAGGAAGCAAAACCCAGCAAAGCTATTTCATTTTTGAGCATTGTTTTACGGTTAACCTTTTGCCCACTTTTGGACCTGGGCTTCTCCAAATCAATTTGTATGCTTTCTTGTTAAACTTGGGTTAAAAAAATTGCAAACTTTGACCTTTTCCTGTCTAAAATTTCAATCCACTGTGTGTAGATTCATATAAACAGGCCACATGTTTACCAATGATCAAAGGCAGGAAGAAAGAACTGGAAAATCTGGAACTTCAAGGCTGCAATGTCTTTAGGTAATCTTTATACCTTTTTTTTTTTTCAATTTTAATATCTGGGTATCTGTTTTCTTACACACCAAGGTTTCTGAGTCTAAATTTTCATGTTAGAGAGCATAGAGGAGAACAATTCATTAATACTTGTTTACCATTTCACTTTAGGAACTGGTGTGTCAGTTTCAGAACACAACTGATGGAGGTAAGCCAGCATTTTTAGAATATAAGTTCTTTCCTGCATTGCTTATGTTGTTAATGATCTTTGAGTGAGAGGTCCTATGTCAACAGTATTTGTGTAGATTAATTCACTTTATTGTAAGAGTTAGTACAGGTTTTTCAGATAATGTTTCATACTTGGGGTGTTCAGATTTAATTGCTTATCTAAAATGTGTGATAACATTATCGGATACTTTTGGTTTCTTTATGATTGTTTGATAAGTTTATTTAGAATGAAAGCACATGCAATTCCAACTTGGTATTATATTAACATCTCTTAGATCCTCAGTTTCACAATTCCTTAACAGAATGGGTGCTTGTCTCCGCAGAAATAAAGGAGAAGATTGCTGCAAAATTGGCTAACTTTCTTATGATCCATATAATTCATTCTTGCGCCAGGTTCAAAACCCAATTTTCTGTGAAATAATTTGTCCTCAAATTTGAATAATGTCTTTTATGTACTTTTCTGCCTCATTGACATCTTACTTTCTAAACGGCTCAATGTTTTGGAACTCTTCCTAGATTGCATGACAGAACCAAATGAGAAGCTTGTGGAATTTGGAGTTGGAGGTGTCTGCAAGTCTTGTGTAGGTAAGTCTGTACTTTTAGTTATGAAATTATGGTTTTCTTTGTTTATGATGACCCTTGCATCATGAGTTCATTTATTTTCCTTTGTAGATCTAGCAAATGCTGCTATTATTACTCAAGAGTGTTGGAATCCCTCTTGTCATTCAGTGTTTATCAAGTCCAGTTGGAAAAACAGCAAGTGGGATTAAGCAAATGCGGGAATTTGATGCATTAAATCTGCTTGCTTTTAACTCTGTTACATATATACACATCTGAGAAGCAATTGATTGTCAGGTGAATTATGCTCTGGGGGCCCTTTATCATCTTTGTAACAAGTCTTAACGGGGAGGAGATTCTTAAGCCTGAAGCAGTTGATGTCATTAAGAGGTATGCTGCAGCTCAAACTATAAATGTAAGCTTCAGTAATCTGGCCAAAGCATTTCTGGACAATCATGTCTCTTGAGGACAAGTAAGGTATCACTCTCACTTTTCAGCTGTTAATATTGAATTGTGTGATTGATTTTTTCTTGAACTGGAGGCTATTGACCATCTGATTTTTAAGTGCATAGCAACTATAGCTTTCTGGTTTATCTCACCTTTATACTTTTTAACTTACTTGATTGAAGTACTTTCCATCAGCACCGTAATAGGTTGTGGTTCTGACACTTCTTGCAAAACCTGAGGAATGGGACTTAAATCTTTAGAAGCGATCTTGGTTTTCAAAAAGGGATGGCAACATTAAACCGATGAATTTCCTGATTCAAATCTGATTCCCTAACTTGTCACCTTTCAGTGACAAGAAAGCAGGAGCCATCAAGATGGCAGCCATAACCTAAATAATACTTTGAAGTAACGAGTTATATGAGACCAATCATAAGATTTCTCTATGCAGGTCACAGCTGCAGAACTTACAGAAGATAGATATTGGTGCACTGGGTTATGGTGAAAGAGGCATTTAACATGCAGCTATGCTAGAATGTATGTAAGTGACTGCAAAATCTGTTGCTAAGGGAGACATTATGGCCTTGGCCCTATTGGTGGGGAATTTTAGGTTAGTAGCAACCACAGGTGGCTGTCTAACTATGTATCTAGTTAGGGTAGCATTACTGGGATCGTTATCAGCTCTTAGTTGAGACATCCGAAGACTTTATATGTATGATTTTTTGGCTAAAATTGCGAATTTTATACTACCAAAGGAACAAAGGAATGTAAAATTCCTTTTCTTTATCTGAAATGCTTTAATCATGTTGACACAGATGATTCGATGTTGTATGGCCAAATGCCGCATATCTAATGCAATTGTGTGAGTTGATACCAAAATATTGGAAAATCCAAAATTATGAATTTACATTCAGAACATTTATAACTTTATTTAGCTTCAAATCTATAGCTGGAGGAGTGTTTTGCAGCATTTGTTTGTTCATGGGTATTTGCTTTGTTTCCCAAACTTCAACTTTGTCGTTGTAGTATAGTGGTGAGTATTCCCGCCTGTCACGCGGGCGACCCGGGTTCGATCCCCGGCAACGGCGTTTTTTTCTTTTTTCAAATAACTGTAAATAATACCTTTCCCTGGCGGGAAATCCACGCTAACACAAATCCGAAAGTTTCCTTCACCTTTTCTTCAATTCTTATTTTAATCTCCAAAGCAACCATCACTTCCAAATTAAAAAAAAAAAAAAAATGTTTCCGCTGAAATATTTCTTTTCTCCTCCACCTTCCTCCGCCCCATCTCCGCGGACAACCTCCGTCCAACGCCGCGTCAGCACCACCACCATCCACATAATGGCACTGGACGGGTTAGTCAACGTCAACTCACTCTTCACCTTCGCTTTATTCCTTGGCCTTGCATGGTACCCCACCCCTACCCTCATTGACGACAGCTTCTCTGCCTGCGCCGCTGGGTCCAATGTCGCCGAGAGGCTAGTTGCATACCACGTGTACTCATTCAGTTCCTTTCTCTTCTCGAGCCTCATCGCATCAACCATCAAACAAGCCATAAAAATAAGTAAAGATAGCAAGGACGTGAAAGGGCATGGAGTTGGCGCCACTCTTGTGGATGTGAACTTGATGGCTTTGAGGGTTGGGATGTTGGTTTCGGGTGTTGGTTCGGTTTTCGGATGTGTGTTTTTGATGATGGCTTTGGTGGCTATGGTTGAGATTAAGTTGGGGACTTTGAGTTGTGGGAGTCTTTACAGCTTTGCGGCCATTGGTCCTTTGGTAGTTTTGGTCCCTTTGGCTCTTGTTATCTATGTTTGTCTTGTTATTTATGCCTTCACTCGCTAGAAATAATGATATATAAATATATCAATATTATGGACTTGGACTTCTTTATTCTTTTATTTTAGCTGCTAATCAAACATTTCAGCAGCTTTAAATTAAACTATGAATTTGAACATGGAAATTTTTTGGAGGTGTAAGAGGTTTCCCAGCTTCACCACTTGAGCCAACTATACATTGGTAGAAATTTAGCTACTTTAATTGTTCCATCTAAACTACAAGTGCATCTGGTCTGATGTCTCTTAATTACTAATTTATTTCGTAGTTTGACAATCTTGAGATGATCTAGTAGTTTAGGTGCATAACTTGGTAGATTTGGAGTGTTAAATATTGTAACTGATTGTATTGGGAATGTTTCGCTTGGTTTACTTAATTAAATTCACTGCTGCTTTAAACAGTCGGCAGGTGCAACATTTCCAAATTCCCTCTTTGTTTATAGAAATAATAGGGCTTAGAAATCAGCACAAATAGATTAAATTTGTCCACCAAGTCAATTTATTTTTCAATGATAACTTGCTAAGGCTGATTTATTTACTCTTGAAAATCAGTCCATGGGAAGTGGCTCATTTCCTGGATTCTGCTTCTCTTATGCTACTAAATATCCATGTGGTAGCACCTTGAATCAGAAACTTAGTCTAATATCTTGTCAAAATTGTCCCCCAAGTATTTTGGATTGGTGAAGGTTTTGCTAGGGGGAATTTTGTTGAATGTTTACATGGCAAAGGATCAGATTACTACTATCTTCAGGTTCCATTATTTCTGCTGCATAATTGCAATCCTTTCTGTATTTTCTTTCATCTCAATCTTTTATTGGTGTCATTTTTCGGAAAATTGCTATTCCATAAACCAAATAATGACGCAAAAGCCAAAGGAAGACATTGACCTACTTACATTCCTTTCTGCCTGGAATCATCTTTTTTTCCCTTCTGATCCTCCTCCCAAAATCCTTCAAATTGCCCTTTTTGTCCAGAAATGGCCTCATAGATCTCATGCAGGAGGACTTGAAAGGCATGCCTTGACTATACACCTTGCCCTTGCTAAAAAGGGCCATGAACTGCACATTTTCACCACTTCTTCTCCAAATTCCTCCTTTACAAGATATCCATTTAGCAATTTAACTTTACACCTCTCAAAGCCAACAGCTGCTGGTTATCTGGTGCAGGCCGTGGTCTGGAAGCAATTTCAAACTCAAAACGCAACTGGGAGACCATTTGATGTGATCCACATAGAAAGCGTTGGACTGTTGCATACTCGAGCAAAGAACCTGACAAATCTAGCTGTTACTTGGTATGGAATTGCATATTCATTCTGACATCATTTTCTGCGGACTCCTGAAGAACAACAGGCTTATGTACTGACTGAAAGAGCTATGAAAGTTGTTGAAGAGGTGAGGTTTTTATCCGAGATATTCTCACGATGTTGCTACAAGTGATCATGCTGGAGATGTCCTGAAAAGGATTTACATGATCCGAGAAGAACGAGTCCACATCATTATCAATGGAGTAGATGTGGAGATTTTCAAACCTGATTTCTCTCAAGGAAATGATTTTAAAGAGAAGTTTGAAATCCCCAAAGGTATATCTCTGATATTGGGAATGGCTGGGAGATTAATGAAAGACAAAGGGCACCCTTTGATTTTGAAGCTTTGAAGCAAATATTCATGGAAAACAACAAATTCCTAGGTGTTATTGTTCTTGTTGCTTGTGATGGTCGTTGGGGCACTAGATTCAGAGATTTAGGGGCCAATGTACTTGTTTTGGGTCCATTGGAACAAGCTCAATTAGCAAGGTTTTATAATGCAATAGATATTTTTGTGAATCCAACTCTTCGAGCTAAAGGATTGGATCATACTTTGTTAGAAGCAGTGCTCACTGGGAAACCAGTGATGGCTACAAGACTTGCCAGCATCACAGGGTCAGTAGTTGTCAGACCAGAAATGGGTTACACTTTCTCACCTACAGCGGCGTCCTTAAGAAAGGCTCTCTATAGGGTTTGGAATGATGGCAGAGAGGTTTTGGTGAAGAAAGGCAAGACTGCTAGGCAAAGAGGGTTGCAATTGTTCACCGCCACCAAAATGGCAGCTGCATATGAAAGACTAATTCTCTGCATATCAAAAGAATAATATTGCAAATACCAAAATCCATAAAATTGGCATATGAATGTTAGTTTCGTATTCAAGTTTATGACAGCAAGTGGTGCAAGAATCAATAATATCCTCTTTAAGGTGGTATCTCTTTTTAAGGATTGGTGAATTTCTATGATCTCTATCTCATTGATAGTCCCGACCATCCATAGAGCGGAGGAAGAGTTGTACAACAAATCTTTCTGTATTATAGGCAGTAGGTGAGGCAACAAAGTTTCTGGCAGTTGTCACCGTTAACTAAAGAGCATTGAACAGAAAAATTTCTGTACATAGCGTACTTAGTCTTTGCAGCCAGATGTGGACCTATAAATTCTTGGTTTATTTAGGCAAGAAAAGCAAGTGGCATGGTATGGAATTTGCATTTCGTATTTAACTGCAAATATCTTGAGAAAATGGGATATCTGCACCTGGAACCATGTGCTTTGGCAGCCAAACATAGTCAGTAGAAATATAGCAGTAGAATTAGCTTTCTTGCTCACTGCCACTGGAAATATTATGATATGCTACTCGCACTTCACTGATCTTGCATTTAATTTCTTTTCCTTGAAAAAGGCGATCCTTATATATGAATAATGAAAAGGGTATTGCTTGTATGTTAAGTTTTGTTGTGTAACTTTCATACATAGCAAAGAGATGGCATTTTGGGTACAGAATCTCAAGCATTGATATCGACAGTTAAAAAAGAAAGCCTAAATTATCTATCAGTTCTCAGCCCTTGCACACATTAGTGGGGAGGATGGGTAGGAGCATCTAAACATATTCCACTCTCCTCAGCCAAAGAACTTATCCCACGGCAGAGTCTATAATGTGGTGATGGATTCTCAACATTCATTTTCAGATAAAATTATGAGAAAAGATACTGTATTACAGAAAGGATTTGAAATCCTAAGTGCCAGAATTTATTTATGCTTCATGTCTTCCATGATTATTTGCTTGCTTTTATGAATTCCTGCAAAATGTCAAGATTAACAAAGAGTATATTATATCAGAAACCCAACTGAAGTCTTCAGAGAATTTTGTTCATAGAAATATAAAAGTTGCTATATCATAAGTTTGCACATTTTCTTCACCATGCCCATATCATAAGTTTACCCATTTTCATGTTTGCTAGTTTCTTGGTTCATAAGTAGACGATGCCCATATCATTAGTTTGCACATTTTCATAGTTTACACGTGTTTGATATGAAATAAACAAATATGCATACACAAATTGTCAGGTTTATTCATAAGGAACAATGCAGTTTGCTTTTCAGAAACTGTAAACCTATTGCTAATGCAAACAAAACTTTAAGCAGTTAAAGGGTTTGGTTAAGTGAGAAAAGTAGTTAAGTTTTGTAAATGAAAATACCTTGGCAAACTGATAAAGAATTCATATGCATTGGAAAACTAGGATCTAATAATAAAGCGAACCTGCAGAAATCCAAGTCAAGTTTTTAGATGTTGGTATAGCCTAAATTCATAGTTGCATTGATCATCATCTAGAATATCAGTACCTTGCCACCAGTTTCCTCTAGAAGCATCCTGTGAATTGGTTCCATCAGGGTCTTCTCCTCCTCCATCTTTCTTAAACTATGCGTTCACGAAATATATATGGTACAATTACTTTCATACATCTATCATAAAGTAATTTTTTGTATCATAGTCAACCAGTGAAGACTCACAATGGGGTATGATGTAGACGACTGGGTAATGGAGGAACGGGAACATATGTCTTGACCACCATAGTAAAGAGATGAACTTAAATGGCACGGTTCCACCCTTCCTTCCTGAAAACCAGAGTTCCTGTCCTTGTTGGGAATGTTATAGTTTGCACTCTCAGCAAGTGAAGCTACAATGTATGAGCAAAAACAGGAAAGAAACAAGAATAAGACAAATTTATACTGGATTTACATTGTCAAATAAGTAAGAAGTATTGAATTTTTCACAAAATGAGGATAATAATTTCAAAGAACGAGGGAAATTAATACTAAAAGCCAATGAAACACAGCTTCCAGGGAAGCAGTAAACATGAAAGTGATTTAAAGAAAATTTGATAATAGGTCCTCAGATGACTCTTACTGAAAACGGAAAAATTTTGAGGATATGCTCCTATTGACACAAAAGTACTTGAGTTGACAAGCAAATAGACCTGGAATTTGTTTTTCACAATGCTGCACAGTTCAAGTAATAAGAAAGGTCTTGACCTGAGGGCTGAGGGAAGAAATGGGCTGAAATTATAAGAAGACAAAATATCCCGATCAATAACCTTGCACTCCGTGTCTCCAAGCTGAACCTTCTAAAGGCTGTTTTGGCCAAGATTCTAGCACCTTAGAGCTTGAATAGTTCCTCCCTCCCACCTGAAATTTCAAATGAAGAAAGCTCCCTGTAAAGGCTAGAAATCAGATTACAGAAAATTCATGGTTTCCACATTTTTGCACTTGTATTCCAGAACAGCAGAACTGGCACTTTCACCCTTTGATTGAAGTTACAAATTAAAGAAGAGACTGTGTGATATGGGACTTTTCAGCTTCAGTTTAAAGAGTTCTGATCATATGCTAGAATAAGTCATATTTCAGATAAAGGAAAATTACTAGAGCACGAAGTATGTCCAATCAGCAGAATCCAATACGTGAAAAAGAGAAGAAAGATAAGAACCGAAGAAAAGAAAACCAAAACAAATGCTGTCCCAATATAAAACAGTGTATATACCATAGGTGGAGGTGGAAAAATGGAACTGAAAATCCCTTTTGATGGCGATGATGATGATGACTCCTGGGAACCAAAAAGATCAGCAGTAAATGAGGAAGACGAACCAACTTGTCTCTTACTCTCCATTTCCTTTTCTTCTTTGACAAACAAACCCAACAGAATTGAATTCCCAAGTAAAAGAACTAATCAAATTCTGTGTACAGACACCTTCAAAGAAAGATAAGATTTGACGAGAGATTACAAAGGAAAACAGCACTGCAAGTGAAGATCACAGTACATGGGAGGGCGTATCTCAAACTGTCTTAGTAACCATCAAATATATATACACAAATCGCCATTTGCAGCGCAGCCCATGTGCCCATCATCAATAAAAATATGGTGTTCTATGACTATATTTTATGGTAATTTTTTTTCACCTTTTCTTTGAAAATCAAATATTTGAAGGAATTTTTCTCTGCAGTTTCCTCTCTCATTCACATTTGGATCTCTGCAATATAATATCAATCTTACTTTTTTCAATTGAACATAACGGATAAGTGCCACCAGGGGTCCACTTGGCATCCCAAGTGGCTAACCATTTACTGCCACCTGTCCTCTAATGGATAAATGCACCCTCTCTTGGCTCTATAGGGTCAAAAAAAAAAAAAAAAAACCCTCAAGTTCATTCAATCTCTTACCTCTTACTTGGGCTAATGACCTTTCATCGGAATAATTTTCTTTGGATATAGCTCCAATAGGGCTTGAGTGAAGGAGAGATGAGAAATTTCTATTCCTGTGATCCCACATCAAGATAAATAGATAAGGTTGTTCTCCCCACTCAACTTTATTAATAGCAGGCATAACCTTTTATGTGCTCTTAATAGTTGACTTTAATTATTCTACTTTAATACCAAAGTTGATGGTACTAAAATACCATCAAAATGATACCATTTATGCCTGAAGCTACTCAACGGATGATCATATTGTTTGTGTTTTTTCATGAAGAAGATACTAAAATGCATCTCCTTCATTATCTTCTGCTTTCCTTATTTATTGCTGTCTGTTGTATACTAAACTGGTTAGTCGAACCAAATTGAGAAATAGTACTGTTTTTCCATCAATATATCCACATTTTAACATTGTCGAAATTTCCATTGCTTTTCCAGGAATGAGGTGGGGTTCCAGTTCCATGTTATAAGCAAATTGCATCTTATTAAGAGCAAAGTTAGTACTGTTGTTAGTCAAAAATATGGTTCAATCATTGAGATAAAGTTGATGTGTCAGCTCACTCAATTGGATTGACTAATTTTTCCTGGCAAATATCCTCGAACATTGTGGTCATTTTCACATGATGATTTTCGCCATGGGAAAAATAATGGTTGAGAGAGCAAGCTATGATTTTGTTTGACAAGAACTTTGAATCTAATGTCTCACCATGTTGAATAGTATATCATGTTATTTGTACTCTCTTCCTACATGTTTGAACTCGATATCTTTTTGGCTGTAAGAATTTACTTGGGAGTCCATGGAATGGAATCCATGCGTATATCAAATTTGTGAAATAAAATGATGAGTGGGATAATGATAAGTATGATTAATCAAGATGAAAATTGATTCCAAGTTCACCAACAATATTGATCAACTTTCATGCAACTTGTGGGAATCCATAATTGGTGGTAGTAGCTTGAAACATACTATTTTTTTTTAATTGTTGAAGTTTAAAATCATAGTTTCAGAATCCTATTGTCCTTTTCCTTTATCACTTTGTTGATATTTCCAAAAGCGAGGTCCATAATTGTAACTGAGAATAAAGCTATATGTACAGAGAGACTGACTACAACACATTGACAAAACAAAAGAAAAATGAAAAGCGTGAGCGGCAGGATTCGAACCTGCGCGGGCGAAGCCCACATGATTTCTAGTCATGCCCGATAACCACTCCGGCACGCCCACTCTGTTGTTGTAAGAGTCGTAATCTATTTCTAGTGCTTGATCTCTAAACAATACATTTTTTTTAGTTCTTTTTATTTGTTTATTTCACAGAAATACCTGGATTTTATGGCCATGGGCTGTGATGAGATGTTGAAAGGGTATCATGGTTAAGGCAATATGCTAGGGAAAAAATGTGGTTGAAAGAGAGAGCCAATATCAAGCAATCTTATCTATTTTACATACAGATATGCTAAACCTGTATTAATATACTGCAATACAGATTTGCAAATTATCTTCCTTAGAGCCTCCCTTTTACTGATATGCTAGATTTACATCACAGATGCAAAATATGTAGCTCTTTGAACCCATTTTTCTGCATTTCTATATTTTTGTTTGGTTGAATTGAAAATTTCAAATTAAACAAGAATACAAGCATAGTATTTTTTTTTTTTTGAACTATAAGCACAGTAAATATTAGACCTGCATTTGAGTCCAGCACTTATTTTTCCCCTTTTTCTCCTTCTACTAGTTGAGCCACATCAGGATTAATATTAAACTAATCAAATTCTTTTTTGGCACATGAATGATCAATTCACAATTACATAATAATGTTGTTGAAGATGCTGCCAGGTCAATGGCAGCTTGCAACAAATGCAATGAGGAACAGTGCCAAAAGATTTTATGTCAGCTTAGCATTAACTCCAATGCAAAAACTAGCTTAAATGGACAAGCATCCAAATCTAGATCTGAAACTGAAATGGCCACTTCATCTCAGATTTCAAGACAAATAGAAAAGGCTAGTGTGACCCAGATCAGCATTTGATTGAGAGACAGAGATGACCAGCATGTGATGTGAGAACTCCTAGTCCCGGAACCGGATAAACAACTTACGGACATTGATGAGAAACAGATACTCATCATTATTCATGGCATGTGCTCTTATATATATTTTACTTGAATGAAATTTTAAGGAGGAAGCTGAGGCACCTAAAGAAATTTCACCATACAGTCACACAGCGCTAGGACAGATGGAAAAGCAAGGACGGAGCCATTGCCGCAGGCTTATACTCGTTCCACTGCCATTCCAAGGCCACATAAATCCAATGCTTCAGCTTGGCTCCATTCTTCATTCCAAGGGATTCTCCATCACAGTTGTTCACACTGCATTCAACTCCCCTATCCCCTCAAACCATCCTGAATTTCGTTTCGTATCCATAGGTGATAACTTATCTGATGAAGTCATCTCTTCTGGCAATCTAGTGGTTCTTATATCACTTCTCAATGTGAATTGCCAAGTGCCCTTCCAGGAATGTTTGGTTAAGATGTTATAACAACAGGAAGAAAAAGAAAAGATTTCCTGCATTATCTATGATGAATGCATGTACTTCTCTGAAGCAGCAGCAAAGCATGTGAAGCTGCCAAGTATTATTTTGCGCACCACCTGTGCTTCAACATATTTTTCTCGAAATGCGATTCCCCAACTCAAAATACAAGGTTTTCTTACTTCGCAAAGTATGTATCATGTTTTATAGCACCTAGAAAACCTTCATATAGCATTTTCAGTTTTATCAATCAAAAGAGTCAATATTTTTGCAAAACCCTTTTTCTCTTTTCTGAATCTAAATGTCACTGTATTTCAAATGAAAGATTCCAGAAAAGCATATTACAAAACTTAGATTCCTAGCGTGCAGCCATGCTTTGCCCACAGTATTTGTTCTGCAGTTTCACGTGGGAGAACCAGTAATCGAGGGGCTCCTGATCTAGACTGTAGCATATGTTTAATCATAGCCTTTGAATCATTGATACTAGAATTTTTCTTTTTGGTCGACATAGGTTCAACATCTCAAGACTTGGTGCCTGGGCTTCATCCCCTCTGATTCAAGGATCTGCCCGTTTCCAGATTCGGAACACCAAAAAATTTCTTGCAGTTGATATCTAATATGTGCAACACAAGAACATCTTCAGCTGTTATCTTGAATACAATTGATGTCCTCGAACAATCATCATTGCAAAAGATTCGCAAACAATGCAAAATTCAAATATTCCCTATCGGTCCGTTGCATAAAGTTGCTCCGGCCTCCTCAAGCAGCTTAATAATGGAGGACACCAGCTGCATTAGATGGCTTGACAAGCAAGTTCAGAACCCAGTTCTATACGTAAGTTTGGGAAGTGTAGCAACTATAGACAAGAACCAGCTAGTTGAAATGGCTTGGGTTTTGGCCAATAGCAAGCAGCCATTCTTGTGGGTTATTAGGCCTGGGTCGGTTGACGATCTGGGATGGAACCAGTTGTTGCCTGAGGGTTTCATGGAAGCTGTTGGAGAAAATGGTTGTATTGTAAAATGGGCACCCCAAACACACGTTTTAGCACATGGCGCTGTGGGAGGGTTTTGGACCCATTGCGGCTGGAATTCAACACTGGAAAGCATATCAGAAGGGGTTCCAATGATCTGCAAACCATGTTTTGGTGATCAAAGGGCCAATGCAAGGCATGTCAGTCACGTATGGAAGATCAGCTTACACTTGGAGAATAAATTCGAGAGAGGAGAGATAGAGAGAGCAATCAAGAGGCTAATGGTGGATAAAGAAGGGGAAGAAATGAGGCAAAGGGCCAAAATTTTGAAGGAGAAGGTTGAAATCTGCATCAGAGAAGGGGGTTCTTCCTACAATTCCTTGAATCAGTTAATTGAGATGATTATAGCATTTTGATCACATAGCTGGCATTGCTACGGCCAGGGCTAGCCTCAAATGCCCAATGCAACAGACCCTGCAGTATAGTTTGTGACCCGGTGCCATGTGCGGGCAAAATTTCCAAGAACACACCAAGATATTCTATAAAGTCTTTTGATATCTTATGGAAGAAATACAAGATTACAATAGTGCCAATAAGCATACAGTGTATGGTAGCATTTTAAGATTGTGCTCAAGTTATTTCGGTGTCTAGTAGCAATTATACATCTTGTAATAACTGCATTCATTTGCCTACACAAGTCTGTGTCCTAAGTCAAAACAATCACACAAGATAATTGTAAACACACCACTATGCAGTGCAGCAGAGTCCTAAAATACACGACATAGATACTCCTCTTGGGGCAATAATACCGCCCCGGAGTAATTCTGCAAGGTATACACAAAGGAGAAAGATGGTTACTTGCCGGAATGACAATGACACTCATAAGAAATAATAAATTACCAATCCATTGCTAATTAAAGGACAGAAATAAGGAAAACAATCAAAATAGATAATATTCTTGCAGCAAAAAGATTTCAATTTTAAAAGAAGATCTTACCTAATAAGCAAAGAAAGTAACTGACTAAGTATGGAGATAATTAGCAGCCATCATCAGCTCCAGAGTCAGTTCAGGTTCAATGTGGAACTCAGTCTCTTTACCCCTGACCAAATGTTAACTCTTTGTTCAGTGCAAAACAAAAAGAGCAAGAGCTCATAAACATAACTCAAAGTTAAAATAGGTAACTTGAGCAATCAAAAAAAGTAAACAAGTCAGTTGATAGTTCATGCACAACAAAATAAATTTGATGAGTTTGAGAAATTGTATCATTGTGAAAATATCGTACCGCATAGAATGAGGATATACAAAGCACTCTATTTTTTGTATTTTAAAATTCAAATATCTAATATCTATATTCTATACTCATCCAAGTGGAAGTATACAATCACGCAGGAAGAGGATACCATGCTCAATGATCCAATATCAACAGCCTATTCCATGCCAAAGTGTATTCCTCTAGTTCCATCTGGAAACTAATGCTTATTTTCAGATGATAAATTTTTTAATAGAGATTCCAACTACAGTTGAAACAACCAGAATATTTTTAAAAAAAATGTGTCTTGGCTCGTTTATATCACAATAAAACATGATGAATTGTTACACAAGCATCTTAAGCTGACACTAAGAAATACATTATGTAAAATGGAGTGTTAAAATCTTTATATAGCAAGGAAAAGTGTGCAATGTTGATTTCCACTTTAACAACGACCCCTCTCAACTGAAGAAGCTATTAATGAATAGTCAAAGACTTCAATGAAACCCTAACATTTGCTTCTAAGTTAAAACAATGAAGGTGTTCCCAGTATATAATTTGATAATTCACCTCCAGGCTCCTGCATAATCATGCTAGAACTCTCCTAGTGAAAATCGACAACCAACATGGGATTCATTCACATACTGTTTATCAACGTATTTCATATCTCATAAAGCTAAAATTCAAGTAAAAAAACACAAACCTGGAATATTGAAGAGACCAATAGAAATACTGACAGATTTTCTCAAGAATCACAGCACTTATCTCCGGGAAAGTCACTTCCCCATGCTCCGTCTCCGCAAATCCACCTTCATAATCACCCAAAAGAAAAAAAAAAAAAAAACAAAAAAAAACAAAACAAAATATTACACCTTACCATCAAAAAACCAACTAAGAACTCAGAAGTCCAGTTTTCCTAAAAGACTAAACAAAGAGATATAGGCACCTGGGGAAGTAAGCATGTTACGGATGGTTTGAGAAACCATGGCAGCTTCCTTGTCAATCACAAATTCGATCCCTTCAGCGCTGATGAGTTTCACCGTGTCTTCTTTCTTCATCTTTTCTCTCTCCGCTTATCTGCAATCTGGACAGATCGCGACGATGGCTTATTTGAAAATAAAATAAGAGGAAAAATTCTGTATTTACCGGATTCTTTTTCTTTTTTTTTTTTCTTATTTCTATTACATTGCGTTTTTTCAGGGGAGTTAGATTTAAGAATGCTCTCAGTTGTCGCGCGTGTTTCTCACGGTACGAAGATCGATTGAGGGTGTTTGGATAGCGGGTTTACTTCGGCATGACTTAGCGAAATCATGGATAGGATAACCATGGCTGCCTTATTGCTCAAATTTATATCTAAAGTCGTAGGTTCAAATGAAATTGTGTGTAAGTTTGATTATTAATATATTATAATTTGTTAATTGATTATTATTAATTATAATTTAATTATAATCTAATAAATAATTATTTAATTAATTATATAGATATAGTATTTAACTATAATTTTAACAATTTTAAAAAATACTATTATTTATAAATTCAAATGTGAAGATGAAAGGTTTTTTTTTTTAAAAGTTTGATATGTATTAATGAAAACTTTAATTACAATTAAATAACATATCATTGAAACAAAATCTCATGAAAATGAAAATCCAATGATTATGATCTACTTTTTTCATAAAATTTTGCATTTTACTTTGAAAATATATAAAAAAGAAACATAATAACTAATAAGTGATGGAAATCACAATCATCTTTAACCTTTTTTGGTGCCTATTATGTAAGGTTCATCATTCACTTTTATATTATGTAATAATAGTTTGTAATAATGTTACTTTAACATTTACTTTTTATATATATATATATATATATATAATAAAGATCCACTTATATTAATGTAATTTATATTTTTTTAGATCGTTTGATCAAAATTATTAAATTTAAAATTATTTGAATTCAAATGAATCATAAATTTAATTTTAATATAAGAATGTAAGAATTATATTAATATAATTGGATCTTTCTTCTATATATATATATATTGATAATTTTTATCTATCCTTTTTTTTATTATTTTATTTATCTAATTTCCTTGAATAAAGTTTAGCAATAATGGTTTTAATCATTTTGTCATTGACTTCAAATTGATAATGAACCTTATAATTGACTTGAAAAATAGCATTCCCATATGTAATTGAATGAAAATAACTTTGTTATCTGAATTTTAAAATTGCTAAATATAGTATTAATTCATGAATTAACACATACATAGATGCATGCATTTTTTTTGTAATATTTAATTATATATTAGAGGTAATTTTTTTCGTTTATTAATTCCATCCACTAATCACAAGAATTGATTTCGAAACTTTCAAAATAAATATTTATTAAATTCTGATAATTAAAGAATTTGTCGAAAAACAAGTTAGTTTTTTTTTTTTAATTTAAACTTATGAATCAAAAACATTTTATTAATTGTGATTTCTACAAATTTATAAAAATATTATATAAAAACATATTTAGATTAATGATAAGAATTTTTGGGAGTGAAACTGGTTTAGTTCAAATCATATTTTGTTCAATTTTTTTTTATATTATATAATATTATAAAATTTTAAAATCCGAATCTTCATTTAATCTAAACAGAACTAAATTTTATCGATTCGATTAAATTTGATTATTGATTTTTATTTTTATATATTATTTTAATATAAAATTTTAATATATTTAAGTAGATTTTGATATAAAATTATTGTTTTTATTTTATAAAAATTAAAAAATATATATAAATTAAAAAATTTAGTTTCATTTGATTTTTTTTTACATCTCAATTTGAAATTCGATTGGAACGTAATATATAAATTTAATATCCGAATTTGATTCAAATCAAATAAAAAAATCAATTCGAATTAATCCGAACATCATAATTTTAAATTAATTTTTAAAATTTTAAATTTTTTCTCATCCCTAAATTTTTCTTGATGATTAACATAATTATTATTTTTTCAATAAGATAAATTTGTTAGAAAAATGGTATATATTTTAAACAAAAGATGATTACATATCGACCAATAAAACTCTCATTATTTCCCAATCATATGATAGAAGAATCTTTATGTCATTCATATTTAAATAAACCCATTAATGAAATAAAAATAAAATTATGAAGGTGACGTGATGACATTTGGAAAATGATATTCTACAACCACTTTCAATCTTTTGACCAAACATCAACCAATCAAAAGAAACCATCAACTACAGTAAACCGACCATGATTCAATTTGACGACATCCGCAACAGTAAGCTACTTAGAAAGAGCTGGAGACCGTAGTTCTGATTGCGCTGGATTAAAGCTCAAGGAAAAGGACAAATTCAGGGATTATATATTGGGTTGACAAACGAACATATTACCTTTTGAAATTGTTTTTTTCATAAAATTGCCACTCGAACGACACCGTTTTGCCTTACCAAAAAGGTTAATATTAAATAAAATAATAAATCGGATCAGATTTAATTTGATTTAATTTTTTTAAATAATATATAATATTTAAATATTTAAAATTTGATTCAAATTCAAATTATTATTTTTTTAAAATTGATGCAATTGGAATTAAATTTTATTAATTTAATTTGATTTGATTTATGAATTTTTAAATTTTAAATTTTTTATAAATTTTAATAATTCTATATATAAAATAAATATTTTTATTTTATAAAAATTTTAAATATATAAAAAATTAATAAAAATATTTAATTCATTTGATTTTTAAATTTTTTTATTATGATCAGAAATTCAATTTCAACTTAATATATATATATATATTTAATATTTAAATTTGATCAAAATCAACTAAAAAAATTTAATTCAATCGAATTAAACATTGTAACTTTGAATGGATTTTCGATTATCTTAATTTATTTTTCATCTCTAACGAAAACCGTAATAAAATAGAAAATTTATATATATTTAATCTTGCCCGTTTCAGAAATCAAAATCAAAGCCCTTCCTGGCATGGCCCCCTTTCCCACTTCTCTACATTACCCGTTGTTTTGTCCATTTCCTCTCATTCGATAACTGCTCTTTTTTTTTTTTTCTGAAATTTATAGTATAATTTCTCCAAAATTATCAATTTTCCTTTTTGAAAATTTTCTCTTCTCGATCTATCCGGTTCGGGTAAGTTCAATGGCATCCAGATCTCTCTCTTTTTTTTTTTTCCTTTATTTTTTGATTGATTGATTTTTGGATCTTGCAGATTTGAGAGAGAAGAGATAAGATAAGAGAGAAGGGGAGGAATGGCGCATAGAGTAGACCACGAGTACGATTACCTTTTCAAGATCGTGTTGATCGGCGATTCTGGAGTTGGAAAATCGAATATTCTCTCTAGGTTCACTAGAAATGAGTTTTGTTTGGAATCTAAATCCACTATCGGCGTCGAATTCGCTACCAGAACTCTCCAGGTTTTTCATCTATGCAATCAACTCCTCTTTCATCCATCTTCATGTTCTTTTTTTTTTTAATTATCTGCTGAATTTTGCCTGATAATTCTCTATCTTTGATATTTTTAAGTGTATTTGAATACTTATAATCTGATTTAGTTTAGGAATTAATTAAATAACTATTACATAAAAGGGTCATTTCAGTAATATTACATGACGAATCCAATTGCTTTCTCTTGCATTCTGATCATCGAAGGCACTTCCATTTCATTTTTTTGCATTGAAACAATGTAGTTGAGTTGAGATGATTGTTTCATTTCTATTTTTTAGTAACGAATTCTACATGTAAGAAATGTTCAAGAGTTGATCAATTCAAAGGGTTTTTTTTTTTTTTTTCTGTTGGCTGATTATTTTATTGAATTAAAAATTAAGTTATTTTATTAATCCAAGCTGTTATTATGCCGTTTTACTGCCATTTTTAATAATAGGAGCACATTGTTCTTATTTATGGGCCCATGATATAATTGAGACTTTGAGTCTGAATAAATAATCCTTTATTGCATTTGCCAGCCTGTCATATTAGATTTATTAGAACCTTCTTTTGATCCTTTGTTAGTTAGTAAAACATGGTAATGCAATATCAATGGATGTAGGCGAGTTCGAATCTGTTGGAAAGTTGTGAGAAGATAATTTTTTATGAATTCGTTAGGTCTGACGTAGATAAACATAATTGGATTGATCTGGGAAGGGGTTGTTCCGGGTGAATCTTAAGAATTCGTAACCACTGAAAAGAATCATGGTAATGTAATTTGGTAAATTGTTGCCTTGTATTTTGCTGTTAATTTCAATTCTTTATCATAATACAGGTAGAGGGAAAGACTGTTAAGGCACAGATTTGGGATACGGCAGGTCAGGAGAGATATCGAGCTATCACTAGTGCTTACTACAGAGGAGCTGTTGGTGCACTTCTTGTCTATGACATAACCAAGAGGCAAACCTTTGATAACGTTCAGAGGTGGTTGCGTGAATTGAGGGACCATGCAGATTCTAACATTGTCATCATGATGGCTGGAAATAAATCTGACTTGATTCATCTCAGAGCTGTTTCTGAGGAGGATGGTCATGCTCTGGCCGAGAAGGAAGGCCTTTCGTTTCTTGAGACATCAGCGCTGGAAGCAACCAACATTGAGAAGGCATTCCAAACCATATTAAATGAGATCTACCATATCATAAGTAAAAAGGCATTGGCAGCACAAGAAGCAGTTTCTAGTACCACGCTTCCTGGTCAAGGAACCTCCATTAATGTCTCTGATGCTTCAGGGAACACTAAGAAAGGATGCTGTTCTTCTTAAAAGTGATAGGTTATATTCAAATCGAAAGTATTTTTTTTTTTCACTTTTTTTGTCAATTTTTGACTGCGAGAGAGACATGAGAATACTTATTTTTACTTAATTGTGGTAAGGAAGCTTGTGATATTTTACACAAACCATATTGTTAATAGCTTGGAAAGGCCTGCTTTTTCTTTGCTCTTTTCTCAACATGTTTCCCTCAAAAAGTGAGGTTGGAAGGTTCAATGGGAAGTTGCTACTGGAAACAAAGAAGTATGATTTGTTTTATTTGATAAGTCAGTTGTGATGAAAGTGTCTCCTTTAAGATTTACTGTCCCTATATTTTTCAGCATCACTGGGTCAGCCACGACAATGAATGGCTTATTCGAAGAACATGGTTGTGAGAACTGTGAGGTATGAAATAGATCTTTGTCTGAATTCAAATGCCTGTTAATCTCACCTGCAGGTTACCATGTCAAGGAAACGAGAGTTCAAGAAACTTGACTCTGTTCATTCAAATGGAAATAAAGAGGCCGAACAAGAAAAGAATAATGTGTGAGGAAATTAAAGCCCCTTAAACTTGGTGGCTGTTTGACCAAAATAAAAACACGCATAGAAGATTGGAAGACAGTGCCAAGGAGAAATCCTCCCTCTGTAATATTTACAACAATATGCGTTTATCATATAATGTTGAATTCTTAATTTTAGTAATATTTACAATAATTGTGTCTATTACGAAATATTGAATTTTTAATTTTAGTGATCAAATTTAATTTTTGATAATTTCAAATATAAAATAAAAATAAATGGGACATAACATAAGCACCTCGAACGTGTTGCTGAGAAATCAAATCAAGTAGCTTACAAGCATGCACATTGCAGCGCCACTCACAAATCCAATCTTTCCAAGTCATTAACTCAAAAAAGGTTAATATGATTAATAATTCATAAATTATAATGAAATGTGTAATGTAATACTTGAGTTTTAAAAATTTTTAATTTAATATTTAAACTATGAATCTATCAACTTAACGTGATACTCATATTTAACGTAACTAACTCTAGATAATACCATTTGATTAATAAATAATTCTCTAATTTTTAGATTAGTTATTAAATTTATAATTTAAGTATCATATTAAAAATTTTTAAAATTTAAGTACTATATTAAATATTTCATTATAGTTTAAATACTTTTAATGACATTAACCTGTTCAAAAATATATCATTTATGCCAAAGCAACAGCAAGGTTCAGAAATCTTTTTGATGCTTTAATCTACATTCTCCTGCAAAATTTGTTGAGAAACTAGTAAAAGACTACTCGATTTGTATAGTTATGTGATGAATTTTGTAAGTTTTTTGACAGTAATCCCTGATCTTGCCAAGTAACTCATTAGAGCTGACTCCAGGCTCAGCTACTACATGGCAGGATAATACAAGTTTCCCAACAGTTATAGCCCATACATGGAGGTCATGGATATTTTGGACTCCGTTGATTCCCTTGATACCACTTTCCAGCATATCAATATTGATGTCACTTGGCGTCCTTTCCATTAATATACCAAAGATATCTCTAAGCATGGGTAGAGTGGTACAAAGAGCAATGGTAGAGAAGACGAGGGTGGAGAGAAGATCAACTATCAACCACTTTGGCTTTATCCAGATAACAGCTCCAGCAATCATTACCCCAACAGATTGAATGAGGTCAGCCATGACATGCAAGTAAGCTCCTTGTAGATTTATGTTCAATATCTTGGCCTTAGCTGGACTACTTGGCACCAGACTAGTCTCCTCTTCAGTTAAATCACAAGGTTTCCCTCTTTCATGGTCATGATGATGGTGATGGTGGTGGTGATGTTGTTGATGATCTGTGTCCCCACAAGCATGGTGGTGAGTGTGGTCATGACCCAGCCAAAGGACCATTACTAAGTTGATAATAAATCCAAATGCAGCAATTTCGAACATAAGTAACCCGTTTACCTCTTTATTTTTGTGTAGAATTCTGTCAAGTGCTTCATAAATTAAGAGTGCAGATATAAGCCATATAAGCTGCACTGACAAAAGAGCACCCAGGACTTCAAGACGATTGAATCCGAAAGATTGGTATGATGTTGCCTTCCATGCTGAAGCCCAGACAGTTATAAGAGATATGAAGAATCCAGCAACATCAGTGAGCAAGTGAGCTGCATCTGTCATAACTGCAAGGCTGTTGGATTTCACTCCACCAATAATCTCTACTAACATAACCATAAGATAGAAAACAATAAGCCCAGAAAGTTTGGTTGCTGACATCCATCGTTGCTTTGATTCCAAAGTAGCGTTTTCTTGCTTGGAAAAGGCACAAACAGAGCAGCATTCAGAATCTAGTGGCATCGAAATGACATCATTTCCTTCAGAGACCATTGGCATCTCAATTTTCTTCTGATCCTCAGCTCTCAAAATGGAGGCTTCATCATGTTCCATCTGCCTGGACAACATGGCCATTAAAGTCAAACAAACAAACTAGATGAGAGTAAGACCCCATCTACAGAAACCATAATTTCATTCAAACTGCCAAATCAGGAGTTCTAGGGGTTAGACCAGAAAAGAAAATGTGTGATTACTTAACTTGCCAAGATCAAGGGCATCAATAAAATTGCATGAGTTTGGTGATTTTAAATCTAAAAACAAGGCAATAGCTTTTCATTTTTCAAGAAACAGCAATAGTTTTAAATTGGGAGTAGATGGACAATTTCTCCAGGCTTCAAGCATAACCAAAACTTTTTAATCAACAGGACTGAACGAGCAGTCTAAGAATTAATATACATCATCCGATATCTCTTCTAAATGAAAAGGCATATCACTTTACACAAGATAGCTTATAAACTAAACTGAAAATTTGGGCATATCAATATCCACCTACAAAGGCATAAGGGATCAGCCAGGCAGATCTATTTTCACCTTGAGATCCTTCTCGAGTAATACCTTTTGAAATGTCATAAAATATCGATACAACCAAGTCTACACTCACCAGGAGGAGCCATGATTGCTCCTTTCAAATTCTCAACTCCACATAATAGGATCACTCCGGACGACTATCTTTCCCCTCTTTGTGCACTCTTCAGTTTTTGACATGGCTGACCAAAATGCCAAAGGTGAATTGTTGCATGTAGTCCTAAATGCTGCCCAATTTTTATTTTTTTGCTGTTATATGATTTCTGAAGCCTATGAACCTCATTCTTCTCAACAGCAATCATTTATTGAGACCTTTTCTTTTCTTTTTTCTTTTTTTTTTTCATTTTTTGTCCAGTTTCTTGACTTTACTATCTTCCAAAGTCAATCCACAATTCACAAACCTCATTCACAGTTCATTATTTCACATATAAACACAAATGCAAAATAGGCAGCACAACAACACTTTCAACCATTAACCATACATTCAAAAAACAAACTGCAAAATTTTTCCTCTTTTCTTTTATACAGACATATGATCCTAGCTACAGCTCAAACACAAGAAAAGCAAAACACCATATTTTCACAAGAAATCAAATACCCATTTCAGGAAATCTCAACAGAAACCCAAAACACAGAAAAATAAGTAAAAGTTGATGAATTTACCCGAGACCCAGAATTGAAGGAAGAAAAAGGAGAACTTTGGATTTGAATGCAGACTCTTCTTACTTCATGAATCGGCTTAGGTCAAAATTTATAAAAGGATAGATTTGATATGAGAATCATCTATGCTCTAAGCATGGAAACCAATTTATTCGGAGTTTCCATGTATTGCTGTCTGCGTTAGACGACAAACATAAAAATTGAAGAAGGATTTGTTTGATGTTTCAAGAGTTTCCTGTTCCAGAGAAAACGGAAAATCACCACTTTCTCGGAAAGTTTAGTTGCCACGCGCCCAAAAGCAATTGCAAAGGATTTTTCTGACCAAACTGTTGTCAAATAAAAAAAAAAAAAAGGCCAAACAAGTAAACAAAATCAACAAAAAATATTTTTTTTTTTATTTCTTCTTTTGAAAAAATGAAACTTCGTCTTGGTTCTTACCTTTGGTTTGTGTATGACAAGTTTGAACAAGCCTTTTTTAAGCCTTCACCGTAATTAAATTGGATCAAATCAACAGCTAGCCTATGCTGTACTCCAATTTGTTTGGTTTAATTAGTATTTCAATTAATGGCCATAAACATAAACTTTTCCAAAATAGAAAGTATTATTGGTATGGATATTTTTAATTAGTTTGCTTTGTTTAGTTTTTTCACAATTATAGATCGATTAATTTTTTTATTTAAATATTATCTTCAAAAATATTAATAATTTTTTTATGAATAATTACATATTATTATATAATAAAATATAAATAATTGAAATAAAAAAATGACAAAACAGGTAAGATTGTGACCTTTATCATTATCTAACTTAATCATGATTAAATAAAATCAATACTATATTAGAAATATAAGTTAAAAAAAAATAGGGCTTTTTCAAAATTTTATCACAAATTCAATGGCTTTAAACAAGCTAAACATAAAAAACAGCGGATTTATCGCCGCCGACGAAATTTAATTCATAATAGATATAAAAAAATAGGCTTCTCCGCCACATTGGAGTTGCAGTCACCACCTCCATTATTTTAAAATTTTTATTTTTTAATCAATTATATATATAGTAGTAGTATTACTTTTATCCCACACAAAAAATATTAATTAAAGAAAGGAAAAGAAAAGAAAAGCCAGGCCACATTCTTCTCCGCCTCTTTTTTCAAAGAACCCAACCAAAAACACGACTCAGTTGGGAAAACCCAGAGAGAAAAACAAAGTATTTGGGGGTTTCTGGGAGAGATTTTGATTGTTTGGCCAAATTATGGGATCTGTTTCAATGGACCCTGCCCTTTTGGATGATATAATATGTCGTTTATTGGAGTTTAGGCAAGCGAGGCCAGGGAAGCAAGTGCAGCTGATGGAAGGTGAGATCCGTCAGCTTTGCACTGTTTCAAAAGAAATCTTTCTTCAACAGCCTAATCTTCTTGAACTTGAAGCTCCCATTAAGATCTGTGGTAGGCCTTCATTTTTTCTTTCAATGTATATTAGCCTTTTTTTTTTGTTTTTTCAATTGAAAATGATGGAGATTCATGTTTTGGGTGGGTTTTTTTTTTTTTTTTTAGTTTTGGATTTGGGTGGATTGAATTTTAATTGGATAAGGGAAAAGTTGAAAACTTTGAAGCAATGCTCTTTCATTTTTCTTTGACAGTTTGATTGGATGAGGGAAAAGTTGAAAATTTTAAAGGAAATATATATATATATATATATTTTAATGATTATGTATGTCCTTAGGGGCTGCATTGGGGCATAATTGATTTTTTTTATTAAATTGCATTAATTGAAAATTTATGTTTTTGATGTTATTCTTTGTATGATTGGTTTCTTTTCCAGATTTTTTTTATATATTTGAGATGAGGTGAAAGTATGGGATTTGTGGTTTGGAATAGATTGAAAATCAGGTTAAATACACAGTTTTATTAGCTATGCTATGCGTATTATCTGAATTGGATGAGAGATTCATGGTGTGAAATTGTATGATGCATTGCATCTTTTAGATTTTCCTAGGATTTTGTGGGGGTGGAGGGGAGCTACGGTTTAGATACAAGGATGTTTTAAACTGGGTTAGCTGCTTCATTTTATCTTAGTTACTTGAGGGCTGGAAGTCTCCTAGGTGGATAAAAGTTAGCCCTTGCAGAGGAATGGACAGGTAAAGCAGGATATTTATGGTAATCATCAAGGACTACTCTTAAGTATGGTTGATTGTTTAAAGTGGAAACAATTTATTAGTAGTTTTGTATATGAAGGGCAAAGAGAAGATAATGTAAAGAACCACATAAAAAGGAAGGAGTCCTAGCATTATGAAGCCTTCACTAGAAAGAAAAGAAAGAAAGAAATGCATTATGTAGAAATGTTTATCTTAGACTTGCACAATCATTTCTTAAGAAAAGAAAATGTGGTAGGTTATCATCGATGTTCCTTGCTGGAATAATCACTTTTGTTGGGAGGGTAGAGAAGATTATTTCAATGATTTATAACACAAACATGATTTTGTCACAAGTTTTATCAATTTTATTAGATGATAAAATTAATGAGCAGGTTGCCTTTTGTTGGGGGACACAATGGATTAGTTTATGCCCTTTAAATAAGTTAAAATAATTACTTGTAAGCAAACACCTTATTGGATCACATTTCCTTTATACAATTTCTGTGCTTTGGAGTGTGTAGAGTCTATGCAATAATGCAAATAGCCTCCTTTCTAGTTTAAGATATTCTCTGTTTTATTTTGTTCCATTTTGTTCCATTTTGTTTCTCCATTTTATATGCATGGGGCTTTTGTATGGCTTGTATAGGAAAATATTGGGTGCTTATTTGAGCAACGTCAAAGTTCTTAGAAAGTGTTAGAAAGCTAAAACCTATTTTTATGAAAATCAATGGTGATGCCTTATAGTGTTGTGACAGCTTACGTGGGACTAAATGATTGCTCATCTCTTTGTATTCAGTTTAATCCTAATTATCTTGAAGAAGTTGCTTCCATTATAGTACCACAAAATGATGAAATTATACTTGTTTAGTACTAATTGATACTGATGAAATTGTACTTGTTTGGTACTAGTTGATTGTTTCAATTATGAATAGGTAAGGCAACGCAGCCTAAAGAAATATTGGAAATACGCTGCTTATTAGATCCATATATTGGAACTATTTAGAGTTTAATTGAACTAACTTCACCTTCAATTTATGTGGCCTTAGGTAGCAACCATGTCAAAATGATAAAGTGAGGAACATGAAATATATCTCAATATCTCACGTGCTATTTAAACATCAGTTCTGGAAATATATCTTGCTAATTTTGATAATTGGTGTTAACTTGTTAAAACAAATCTTAGTAATCTGTGTTTTTTCTTCTTTAAGGTGACATTCATGGGCAGTATGCTGATCTTCTGAGGCTTTTTGAATATGGGGGTTTCCCTCCTAATGCTAATTATTTATTCCTGGGGGACTATGTTGATCGTGGCAAGCAGAGTCTAGAAACAATATGCCTTTTGCTGGCCTATAAGATCAAATATCCTGAGAACTTCTTTATTTTGAGAGGGAATCATGAATGTGCTTCTATTAATCGGATTTATGGATTTTATGATGAATGCAAACGAAGGTTCAATGTGAGACTTTGGAAAACCTTTACTGATTGTTTCAACTGTCTTCCAGTGGCTGCTCTGATAGATGACAAAATATTGTGCATGCATGGTGGCCTTTCCCCTGATCTAACAAATATGGATCAAATTAGGAATTTACCCCGTCCAACTGATGTTCCAGATTCTGGTTTGCTTTGTGATTTACTTTGGTCAGATCCTGGTAGGGATATCAAAGGCTGGGGTATGAATGATCGAGGAGTCTCATTCACCTTTGGGCCAGATAGAGTCTCTGACTTCTTAATGAAAAATGATATGGACCTTGTTTGCCGTGCCCATCAGGTTAGGAGATTTTCTCTTTTCTTTTTCCTTTATGTGTGTGAATGTGTAATCTAAGCAGCTGACCTTGATGCTTCTCTCAGGTGGTTGAAGATGGATATGAGTTCTTTGCTGACAGACAGCTTGTTACAATATTTTCTGCTCCCAACTATTGTGGTGAATTTGATAATGCTGGTGCAATGATGAGTGTTGATGAAAGCCTAATGTGCTCTTTCCAAATTCTTAAGCCTGCAGATAAAAGGTCCAGGTTCATTTGAGGGACATGATGACTGCTATCTCTCTTCCTACATAGAATTGCTGATGTAAGTTTCAATATATACTTTTATTACATAACCTGGTAACCGTAGAATGGCTCTGGAGGTACAAAACCATGGAGTTAATTATACATTTTCAGGAGTTTGAAAGATTATTCTTTTATGTTGGTTTTTGCTGTTTTAATTATTTTTTAGGGGTTGTTATACAAAACCATGTGTACTTTATAAAACTGTACACCTAGAAAAGTTACATTCAATGAACAAAATTGCTTATTACCCAGATTTGAGTTAAATTCATCCTATGGAACAACTTTGCATTTCCAATTTGACGTTTTTGCTTTATTTTACACCTGCATAATCTTAAGCCCTAATTTTATTAGGTTTGTGTCATGACTTGTCCTCTATTACTTTCTTCCTCTTTGAAACTTTAACTAGTGATATGAAAAGAAACCCAAAATTAAAGTGCTGATTCTGTGTTGAAGCAAAAGAATCACTATCTCAGTGAAGAAAAGATTCCATGGTTTACCCAAGTATTAAAAAATATTGATGTTAGTAACATAACTCATCTCTGTTTCACGTAACCTTTCTATAATGATTTTACAACCTCTAGCGTGAAACCACCTCCTCTGCCTTGGTCTTGGGATCAGTATTCCACCATCATTGTTGCTAACGCTTTGCAATCCCTCCAAACTTTCTGTCGTGATTTGATCTGTTCATCTATCATGGCTAGTAATAACTAAAGAAACAACTCTACATCCAGCGCATATTCATCCCTTTGTCCCAACTAATAATAACCAATCTGTTGTTAGTTATGCTACAATTCTCAGGAGTAAAATAACCATCTTTCTGCTTTGTTAGTTGCTCGATGGCTTCATTAACCCAATGGTATAGGTTAAATGCTGAAAATTATGTTTGTTTTCAGGAGTTTTGGTTAGAATTATTTTTTCTAGTTATGGACATGCTAAGAGCCCTTGAGCAGGGAAATGTTAATGGACCTGAAACTTTCTATGTTCCTTTCTGTAATTTGTTAACAGTTTTATGTGATTCTACCCACAAAAACCATGCATATTGTCACATAGATCACCTAGGTCACACATCCCCATACTTACAAGTTGCAAACTGTGTATTTTCATTTGTTATCCTTAGCCATCGTTCCTTGTGTTTATATGCATGTTGTTTTTGAAATTCTCATAGAAAGTTACACATATTTTATGTTGTTTGTCAGTTTATAGTATGTCTTTAACAAGCATGGAATATTTATTTAAAACTTGTAAAGGTGTCAAAAGCTTTTTTTATAATTTCTTGTGACTCTTCATTTGTCCCATATATAATAAGTTTTATGATTGCTGGTTTGTGACATTCCTTGTAAACTTTTGATTGTCCTTATTTGTGAACCTAATTTCTCCATTGTCTTTGTTGATTTGGACATATTTCTTGCAGTCCAGTAG